AGAAAGGGGGATGGGGTGGGAGACATCTATAATACTATCAACAATAAAACATATATATTAAAAGAATTAAAAATGAACTCTTCCTTAAAAAAAAAAGGATCAAGGACTGGAAGACTTACATAATTTAGCAAACCAGTATTTCCCAAATAAAGATGGGTGGATGTTATAAAACCATGCGTGAGTTTGGTTATTTAAAATATTTAAAATGTTTGGTTTAATGCCCAGTACAGCCAATATTGATAGATATAACTATACAAACAAAGGTCTTGAGGTCCTCAATGTTTTTTAATGATATAACGATATTCAGTTAAAAGGTTTGAACCACTGCTCTCGATTAAAAAAATAGCTGCTTCCTAAAACCCCCGTCTCAGCTGTGCTGTGAGACGCTCCCCCTTCTCACCCCGAGGGGCAGGTGACCCAGCAATGCGCCAGCTGGCAGGTGGCAGCAGCCACACCTGGCTCCCCACGCCCGGAGCCCTCGTGCGCATGTGCCTAACTACAAGGTCACCCCACAGCGTCTCCGTCTGGCGAAGCTGGGCCATTGGTTTGAACATCGAGTCCCAGATGCACTTTCATGGGCTGATGCCCACAGAAGATAACCAAGTATATGGCATCAGCTGGCATTTTCAATTAATTGCCTACACTCTGTACAGTTCTAGTAAGTGTTTGTGTTCTCCTTATTTTAGGTGACCTTTTCATCATGTTGTTATCTCAATTTCCTCTCGTTCTCAGGCACACCAAATTAAAGGTCAAAGAAAATGAAGCAAAGGTATTAAAACAGAACTTATTTTTTAAACAATAATATGAAACTCTATCATAGATGCCCTTTTATCCCTAAGTTCACCATCAGGGTATATTCTTAAAAACTACCCTGTCCCTCAGAATTCAAGTGGAATCCATAGTTGATCAAAACATCTAAATATTACCCTACAAAAAAATCTGTATTTGACTTTGATCAGGTTCTGGAGGTTAAACCTTGAAGCAACTCCCAAGAAAGAACTGTATAATATACATGGGAATTTAACACCCAAATTCGATGCTGCTCACAGGTAAGGACACCTCCCAGTACAACCTTCCCTTAGGGAATGAGGGGGTCGCAGGGCTGGCGTTCTCTTGCTAGACTGAGGCTCACTTCCACCAGACCAGTAAGCCCTTTATCTGTTACCATTTCCCCAGAGGCCATCTCAGTATCCAGCACACAGAAGACATTCCCTGGAAATCTACAGAACGAACACGCAGCCACATGGGAAACTCTGTTTTCCTTCCTTAGGTCAGCCCCACCCTGTGCACTGTGTTCCCCTCCTGGATCCGGGCCAGGGAAGTGGACTCTGAGACGGTCTCCGCCCGAGCGCCACTCTGGTGCCGCCTAAATAAAAGGCAGTGGAGGCCCCCCAGTCTTAGTGGCGCGGAAGCGGGGCACACTGCCTGG